TCAGAGGAAAGGCAAGACGGACATATAACCAGATTGTGACCGGTACCCTCGGTATTGGAATTCTATGCTGGCTGCGGGAGATGAGGAGGAGCACGCATGGAAACTCCCCGAGTTGTGTGACGTCGATTCTTGACTCAGTTCAACTCAACTCTAAAAGTCTGTGACTAAGCAACAGCAAGCATCAGTCAACATTTTGAGAGCATGCATTTTTCCTTTATCAACATACTGATGTGATTAGTGCCTGTCTAATCATTTAAGAAGAAAACATGGGCTTGTGAGCTAAAATGATAAAGAAAAATTTTAAGAATACCACGGAAAAGGAAAAAACTTAACACTGACATCCTAAAGATTTTGAATATCTAGGAAATTTGGCTCGTTAACAGCATGTTGTCTCGGAAACTGAACTGTTCCGCCCCTATCGACGCCTCGGAGGTTTGGAAAGAACAGTAGTGGAGGGCATAGTACGGTGTAAGAAGATAATGGTATGACCAACAGGAAAATGGGCACAGAGCACTGGAGACACGATGACCAGGAAAGTGCATGAGGTAGGAGAGCTGACGACAGACTTGAGTTTCTTTCAGGCGGCCTGTACTGGAAGCACACTACCAGCTTCATGATGATGATGTTGGTGTGAAACTTGACGCTGACGCTATAACTATGCAGTTGTGGTAATTACTGTCAGGAGTGAATTATCACAAGTTGCATTACGTGGTGGGTATGGGTGTTTCATTCGTAACATAGAATACACATTTGACTTGTAACAAGAGACAGTGGACCGTTGTATTTCACTTTTAACATTCTTCTTCATCTTCTTTTTATTCTTTCCTTTACTCCTGAAATGCCAACCGGTGTCAGGGCAGGAAGAGATCTCTGGAACGGGCCCTTCTGTTCGCTTTGTATAAAGTACTTTTCTGTGTCTCTGATATTTCTGTAGTCCATCTTCGGCGTGTTCGAACTTTGGAACTGTTGCCTTTGTATCTGTATAACATTGCTCTATATGGTGCCGTGTCTGATGATGCCAATCTTGTTACATGGCCGAACCATTTAATTTGTTGTCTAACTATAAAGTTCAGTACTGATTCTGTGCCGACTCTCCTCCTGGTATCATCGTTCCTAAGCCGATCTGATCTCGTTACACCTAGCATAGTACGTAAACATTTCATTTTTGTCGTGACTATTTTCCTTTTGTCTTCTGAAAAGACAGTGTCCATGTTTGACATTAATAGAATAGATTTGGTAAGAATATTGTGGTGAACCGTGTTCTTTTAGTATAACATTGTATAATACAATTAACAAGCTGACAGCCTCACAAGAAAGGCTAATATGCGTGTGTAAAAATGGGAGGTGGAAAGGAGGGTGGTGGTAGGCAATTGACCAAGCTGAATTATTGAATGCTCTACGAAAAAATAAGGATGTTTTATGAAAATCAAATAACTGTGAATCTGCAGCCATGATCAGACTGAAAGAACAGCAAATGAAAAGGGATGAGGCCAGACAAGAACACTATACAGAAAGGCAAAGAAAAAGAAAAAACAACATTGAACTAGTGCAGTCGGTCGCTAAGCTCTGCAGGATTGTCGTGAAGTGATCCTAGCCCTTATGGACTGCTTCGATGTTCACTGATGATGATGTGTCCACTATTGAGTACGTGTTTTATGTGTAATAACATTTGGTTGTCGATATTTTGTGTGTAACATCATCAAGCAGATATTGAGGTTTGGCTTTTAAAATCAACCAGTGTTGATGAGTGTTTCAATTATAATGCCATGTGATTATCATTGATGTTACCAATACAAAATCAGATGGTAGATACATATACTTATTATTGATTTACATTGCAACATCATGTGACGGGTTTCATAGATATCATGAAATAGTTTGTATTGATGTATAATACGTAACACAACACAGTTTATATTCATATTCCCCATGTAACACTGCAGAGTTTGTTTTGATGTTTCACATACACAACCAACAGTTTGTTTTGATGTTTCACATACAAAATAAACAATCTGTTTTGATGTTTTACACATAAAAGCATGTTCTGGTGTTCCATGTATAAAGCCAACAGTTTGTACTGATGTTTCACATATAACCCCACACAGTTTGTATTGATATTACACATATAACCCCACACAGTTTGTATTGATGTTACACATATAATCCCACACAGTTTGTATTGATGTTACACATATAACCCCACACAGTTTGTATTGATGGTACACATATAACCCCACACGGTTTGTATTGATGTTACACATATAACCCCACACAGTTTGTATTGATGTTTCACATATAAACCCTCAGAGTTTGTATTGATATTTCACATTTAAACCCCAAAGTATGTAATGATATTTCACTTACAGACATTGAAGGAAATATGTGATTTGTCTCATTTCGCACACATAGACGCACACATATGTAAGCATTTACACACAAATACACATGTATGTACATAAATATACATTTTCAAATGGTAATAACTTATGATTATTTCGATTTTCCGCCCACAAATGCTCACACATTGCCTGAAAGAATGTACTGTCTATATTATTTATTTACTCAATCTGTCCATAGGTAAAATACTTAGGGTCACCACCCCCCTCAAACACACACACACACACACACACACACACACACACACACACACACACACAATTAAACAATTTACAGTTGCATCTGTTGTTTCTAAACAAACAGGAAGTGCTAAAAAGGATTCGTTGTAGCGTGCGTCAGCCAGTTCGTCAATGGTTAAAAAAGCCATTAAAGCTTATTCAGCATATTAGCAACTGTAAGCATCTTTATTCCTCTTCTTCTTCTTCCTCTTCTTCTTCTTCTTCTTCTTCTTCTTCTTCTTCTTCTTCTTCTTCTTCTTCTTCTTCTTCTTCTTCTTCTTCTTCTTCTTCTTCTTCTTGCCAATACCCCTGGCATGCCTTGCGGTAGAAGAAATCTCTAGAACGGGTCTTTTTGTTCGCTTCGTAAAAATTCTTTTCTGTGTGTCTGATATTTCTGCGGTCTATTTCCTGTGTGGTCGACCTCTGGATCTGTTACCACTGTATCTGTATAACATTGCTCTCTGTGGTGCCCTGTCTGATGCCAATCTTGTTACATGGTCAAATCATTTGACTTGTTGTCTGCTTATAAAGTTCAGTATTGATTCTGTGCCGATTCTCCTCCTGATATCATCGTTCCAAAGTCGATCTTTCCTCGTTACACATAGCAAAGTACGTAAATATTTCATTTATGTCGTGACTATTTTCATTCTCTCTGATAAAGACAGTGTCCATGATTTGACATTGATAGCATAGCGTTGGTAAGAATATGGTATTAAACAGTGTTATTTTAGTGTTCATATTCACATGCTTGCATTTCAAAATTGGTGCCATTTGGCCTAAAACTTGAATAGCTTTATTGCATCTCCTGCTTCAGAAGCTGAGTGGTTGCGTGTGCATCAGTTTTACAGATCTCATTCTCTTGATACAGACTGTTGGTTCCTTGCCTCTCCGGCAGATGCACTCCGACTTCTGGAGAATGTTATCACTTCTGTTTTGACTACGTTGATCTTCTTCATATCAAAGTTGCCGCATTCTGAGTGAAATCTATTAATATATTTTTTTAAGGATGAAAAATTTGGAAATTACAGTGGCACAGACGTGTAACAAAATATACCGGCCACTCCAAACAAAAGAGATACTACATGGCTCGATGGAGGAAAAGGGGAGAGGTGTAGGCCGAGAAATACCCGGATACAGCATTCGATTGAACGGACAGGCGTCAAACCAGAGCCGTCCTAACAGCATTATGGTCCTTTGTGATAATTAATGCGTTGAGGCCCCTTCGACAACTACATACTGAAATGCATTTTTTTAAATAAATTTAAAAAAAAAATCACTGAACATACACAGATGAGCGTGGGATCTCTATGCTTATGGGGCCCCGGGCAAGTGCCAAGCAGGCCCAATGGTAAGACAGCACTGCCTCAGACGTGCTAACACCAAGTCAGTCCATTGTGGCTAATGGATAGCAATAAAGGTAACAGATCTGACAGTCAACAGTCACCGATGACCCAATAACATCTTGCGTTAGGGGACTTTGATGATGACCATCCTGGTTTGCAAACAGACAACTTAAACATTGGCACAAGAAAAAGTTATCGGAAATAAAGGCGGTCATGATGATATTGACCAAATCACAAATGAATGGTGACGATTGGTCTATAAAACGATGGGGCTGGAACCATATACCCATTGTGTATTAGGACTTTACTTTTCAAGGGTTAACTTATATACACAAACTTCTTCTTCTTGCTCTTGTTCTTCTTTCTCTTCTTCTTCTTCTTCTTCTTCTTCTTCTTCTTCTTCTTCTTCTTCTTCTTCTTCTTCTTCTTCTTCTTCTTCTTCTTCTTCTTCTTCTTCTTCTTCTTCTTCTTCTTCTTCTTTTTCTTCTTCTTCCTCTTCTTTTTGTTCTTCTTCTTCTTCTTCTTCTTCTTCTTCTTCTTCTTCTTCTTCTTCTTCTTCTTCTTCTTCTTCTTCTTCTTCTTCTTCTTCTTCTTCTTCTTCTTCTTCTTCTTCTTCTTCCTTTTCTTCTTCCACTTCTTTTTCTTCTTCTTCTTCTTCTTCTTCTTCTTCTTCTTCTTCTTCTTCTTCTTCTTCTTCTTCTTCTTCTTCTTCTTCTTCTTCTTCTTCTTCTTCTTCTTCTTCTTCTTCTTCTTCTTCTTCTTCTTCTTCTTCGTCTTCTTCTTTTTCTTCTTCTTAATTTTCTCTCTACATGCCACAATCATTGCAGTCTATTAGTCTCCATTGTGCCAATATAGGTGACTGAAACAAATAATTGATTTCGTTGTTGCCTCTCCACTCTCCGCCTGTATACAAAATCTCAGACAGTAAAATCATACACAAAACATGGGACATTCTGACTTGTTAAAAAGTTTAAGGTGTTTGGTCGTTCATAAACGAATGGCGAGTCATTTGGCATAATAAATGTTACAGTTCGAAAGACAATCAAGAATCCACCAAACTCTGGTTGTCAGGGGAATGGGCGTGACAACAGGTTTTGTGCACCAGTGATCTAACGTCACTTATTCTTCCATTTTGCGCGTAAAGTTTCCTGTTATGGCTCATATCTGGTCGTCTGCTATCCAAAGATAAATGACGCAGTGTTCCACCCCCGTACAAGAGAACATTTTGTGTGTATGTTTTATGCGTTGACTGCATTCGTTGATCTTTCATGGAAGGAGCATTTTTGTTTAAACTGTCACAGTTTTTAAGTATCTTTCTAGATTTTGGATGTAAAAACCGCACTGAAGCAAAATCTTGAGTTTTCATTGATTTGCCCAACGAACGAGTTCTTGGTCGTTTATGCAAAAGTGTTTGAAATTTTTTAGGGTTTGGCATTTGACATTCACAGCGAAGCATATTCCAGAAAAAACGTCCATACTTCTTTTTGATCCTACCTCTGTTTTGAGCGTACAAATAAGGGTTTAAAGCGCTGTTCAGAAAGACTAGGGCGATACCACAAATTTTAACTTGATATAATATTATCGATTCTCCGATAATCATCTCTAAAATATGAGAGATCACCAACGGTGCCCAGCACAAAGCGATTATGACGATGACAACAAAACACATGGTAACGGCTTTGTTCTCCTTGTCCAAGGCGACCATGCAGCTGCAACAAGTACAGTGCTTCAAGGGTTCGTTTTTCCGAGGAACTTTAGTGTTGTCAACTAAGATTTTCTGCACGTCGATAGATGCTGAATCAATTGGCAATGCATTCTGCACAGGAACACTCGTTGGTGGTTTTAACAATGGCTGAAGAGCCTTGACTCTAAGATATGTCTGAACACGTACAGCTCTGGCGATGATACTGTAGGAGATGACGATGATGGTGAAGCTAATGATAATGATGGGGCTAACGAAGAATAGAATTACGTTGTTGGTGGTAATATCGTTGCTGTTGATAACCGCTTGACAGGTGGTGTAAGCCTGAGTCCAGGAGAGGGTCACATGAAGAGTTCCACCCAAGGCCGTTCCTATACTGATGATGTAGATAATACTTAAAATAAACGCTGTTCGTGTTGTACTCAAAGCGCCTTTCAACCTGCCTCGCACTCGTGATTCCCTGTGGGCGGCGATAGCCACCAAAGTCAGTAAAGACAACAAGCCACACAGCGTGGAAGTAAACAGAAAGCCACCACAAAACTCCCTTGGCGACGGCGGGTTAGAGAACAGCAAGTACAAAAACGTCGCTGATAAACAACCAGAGATGATAAAATCGGCTCCGGCTAGGTTGAAAATCAGCATATCAAAATTGGAGCGCAGCCTCCGACACTGCAGCGCTGACAGCAACACTAATCCATTGCCAAAAGTGCCGAGGATCACCACAAAGATTACCAACACTGTGCACACGGTCAGTGTCGCTGTGTGAACGGAACCGTGGAACGAAGGGTCCCAATCGGGTGGAGCCAGTACAGGAAGAACACTCATGCTTGTGTTCATGAAACTGGTTGGAGACATTGGCCGGATCACAACATCGACTGGCATGCTGAAGATATCACCACAGATGTTCGATATTCCTGTTTTAAAATTACGCACTTTAGGAAATCCATATTACGAAATATAATTTCCCAGTGGTAATATATAACACCATATCAAAATCGTGTGTCCTTAAAATACGCGACACTAAATACATATGTTACCTGCTATTGATTATCAATGGCTGGGAATACTCCCACAGGGCAGGCATAGAAGACAAATATGTCTGGCTAAACTATATTTATTGATTCCATTGTATGGGTACAGAGAACTTTGCACTGACATTCCACACAGAACACTTAGACAATTAGTTGATAACGCAGATACAGTTTTCCAACTCTGATAAATCATTTTTGTTTCTAGAAATAGCTGAGTGTTATCACAAAATGGCGATATTCGGTGAAGACGTTTAAATCGCTGCACAAGATCTTCTTGCAGAAATAAAGACATAAAACTGCAGCATTTTTTCTTTGGCAAAAATCTTACTCCAAAGCACAACCACACCTGGTGTGTATAAAACACTGGAGTGAAAGCTTTAGATTTCAGCCGACGATGCTAATCATAAAATGCCAACAAAATGCCGAGATTATGAAACCCTCATTAGACAGACTCTAGCAGGATCAGTACATTTTTCGCGGCTTGTTGCTGGGACCATATCCCTTCCATAAGAAAATACCTCCAGGGACAAAACACAGAGGCGAGAATACATCTGGTAGGCTTTGGGGATTGAGATTCTTGCTGAAGCTGAGTGCCTGTCTGAATGTCAGCCGTGGAACGAATACATTGCCATCAGCTCCTGCAGCGTTGCTAAGGGATTTGATGTCAAACATGGGCAGCTAACTCCAGGGGAGGCCATCACTTGGAGGTTGTGACCTTGAAATCAACACTGTTGAAAGAAAGCAAAGCATAATTTCAGTCAGAGTGTATTTGTGTATTATATACGTCTGTCTGTCTTTCTGTCTGTCTGTCTGTCCGTCCGTCCGTCCGTCCATCCGTCCATCCATCCATCCATCCGTCCGTCTGTCTGTCTGTCTGTCTGCCTGCCTGTCTCTCTGTCTGCCTGCCCGCCTGTCCTTATGTCCCTCTGTCTGTCAATCTAACTATCTGCACGTCTGTCTGCTTGCCTGTCTGTTTGTCTGACTGTCCGTCTGTCAGTCTTTAAATCTGTCTATCTGTCTGTGTGTCTGTGTATCTATCTGTGTGCGTGAATGAATAAATGTTTTATTTATTGTAGTGTGATGTTTTTAAAATTTAGTTGGATATCATTTACAAACGTCACTGACCCAAACCCAACCCCCCCCCCCCCCCAGCATTCTTGGTTTTGAGCAGCTGCTGTACTGTGTAACTTTTATTACAGTAATTTACCATTGCCATTCAGATGTGTCTTAGGAAAAGTCCCGAGAAGCAAAGGCAGCCGGCGTGATATTTGAGCACATAAAGATCCCCGAAAATACGAGTCTAGTATTAGGTGTCCTGTGATGCTGACCACTTTCACCCGCCCAGACTGGCTTATAAAATACGGGTCTAGCCCTATATGCCCAATACTTCAAAAGGTGAGGAAGATGATCCTTTATCATATGCCCCATATTCCATTGGGGAGAAGAAAAAGTGGTCCTGTAATTTGCCAATGCTCATATCGGTTACAAAACAAACGCAAAGCTGTCTGCAGCCAAAGACCTGCAGCTGACTTCAAACTCCGATGTGTAGGAATTGTTAAACCACGTTCGTAACCTCCAAACCACAGTTAATGCCTCGGTAAAGTATCTAAAAATTACTGACTGCTGCAAAAGTCGGAGCTTTTTTTACGCGGAACAGTCAATAACAATTGATGTTAGTGTCGGGCGGTTGTGGAGACGTGGGCGTGGGCTGTACAAAATCAAGGGGTATTATATGCTATGCATCAGAATTGTAACTGTAAGTTAATATTGGTACAAACGAGACAGATACTGATGTAAATGTATACATTTGTTAAGTGTAAAGGAAGATTTAACACACACGCATACCCAGTCTGTAAAAAAAAAGGATGTCAAATTCAAAGTCAGTATGGATACACTCATGAGCGCTTGCGCGCGCACACCTACAATAACATACACAACACACACACACACACACACACACACACACACACACACACGGTCGCGAGCGCGCATCATATTCAATGCAACACAGTCATTTTAAAGTTAGTGTATAGTTGTGTGTGTGTGCGTTGTGTTTTGTTTATTGATGTTGCTATGCTGATAAAGACTTATCGCCGCAACGTCGTCTGTTCGTTTATTGTAACTGGTTTAGTAAAGCTGACAATGTGTCTTTTAAAAAAAATATTTTTACACCTTTTTCTTTGTTTTCCATCCCTACAACTTCCTACTTTTTCTTTTATTTGTTCCTCCATTTGCTACTTTTGTATTCTATTCCTTAACATTTCCTACCCTTTTTCTATTGCCAAAAATTTCATATTTTAAATAGAACGAACGCAGAATACTATCATTCATGTCTGAATTTACAACTTGTACGGTGTAGGTGGCGGAGGTGGGGGGATTAGGGTCACATGGCTAGTGCTGTCGCCACGGACTGTGCAGATTAGGACTTTATTTGTGTCGCCGATCGAGAACTCTGGTCTCCCAATGAGAACTCTGGTCTCCCAATGAGAACTCTGGTCTCCCAATGAGAACTCTAGTCTCCCAATGAGAACTCTGGTCTCCCAATGAGAACTCTGGTCTCCCAATGAGAACTCTGGTCTCCCAATGAGAACTCTGGTCTCCCAATGAGAACTCTAATCTCCCAATGAGAACTCTAGTCTCCCAATGAGAACTCTGGTCTCCCAATGAGAACTCTGGTCTCCCAATGAGAACTCTGGTCTCCCGATGAGAACTCTAGTCTCCTAATGAGAACTCTGGTCTCCCAATGAGAACTTTGCATTTTCAACTTTTTACCAGCACAATATAGTTCAAGATGCGATTTGTGCATTAGCATCTACACACACACACACACACAGACACATAGACATACACACACACATACACACACATATACATACACACACACATGCACACACATATACACACACATACACACACATACACACACATACACACACATACACACACATACACACACACATTCACACACTTACACACACATATATACACACACATACACACACACGCACACACAGACACGCATATTCACTCCTATACAATAGACCTAATTTTATCCAACATTAATTCCTGTGTAGGTTCAGGACCAGTGTGAGAAAACTGTCTCCCCAACAAGGATCAGGAGTTGACTAATTGGGGGCTTCCTTCGAAGTCAGAGTATCTACCTGAGAGGCAAGGAACCAAGAGTCTGCATAGAAACAAGCCGTGTGAAACAGATGTGCCTGCATCACTCGGGCTCTGAAACTAGTCTAAATTAGGAAATTGGACAAAAACCCAGAACTGTCTGCCTTAGTTCACAGCCGGTTAATGCGAACAAAAAGAATCCAACATTATGAATCACATGCAAACACATATACACATACATATATGTGTGTCTTTGCATGTAAATGAACCTTTTATGCGTTATAATGCAACATATCCACACTATTTTTGTCATGTATCCACGATTCTGGAATGCTAGAGATTTGGTGCACTGTACTCAGCTTTCTTCTGTGTAATCTCTAGGAAGAGACTGAGACTCTCATGGAGGTATCCATGTGAAACGAAAATAATCCTTTACAAACCTAACTTTCAGAACGAATATTTCAGCGCACATCGGAACATCAAATTTTGCGCATCAGTTCACAGTTGAACTTTAAGCCTCGCTAAACTCGGAGAGCTATAAATTGTTTTCTGAATCGATAAAATAAAACGCGCAATTAGTTGTGTGTGTGTGTGCTGGCTCCACGTTTCAGACGACTGAATGAATTCAAGCGAGGCTGTCTGATCTCATGAGACAAGAAAATAGAGAACTTATGTTAAAGGCAAAGATAAAAGGACAATATGTGAGCCAGTGGCTTGTGGGGCATAAGGTTCTGGGCTCATAGTTTTGCAGACCCCATTTATTCGGAGGTTGGGATGGAGAGTATTTTCTCAACACCAAAAGACGTATAGGGACATATAGGGCAAGACCCATATTTCATAGACCAGTTAGCACTTGGTGGGTGAAATGTCATCTTTACAACATGAATGTATCTGGTACCCATTGAAGGCTAGGTCAACCTCAGAGCCAAGGTCATTTTTGAAATAAAACATATGTCTGGCTCCCACAGGACCTAAAACCAGGGTCTTCGGATCCACAGGCGCATCAGCACGGCTGCTCACGCTAAAGACCTGGTCCAACAGTTAAATACAGTCATTAAGTGATGTGGAGAACTACAAAATACATGAGCCAACAGTTAAATGCATACATTGAAAAATATGGAGAACTATTAAAGACATGAGCCAACAGTTAAATACATTCACTGAATGATGTGGAGAACTACTAAAGACATGAGCCAACAGTTTGTTTGTTTTAGTATCCAGATGCCATGAGTTGTTAACCCTTAGGCTCGGTATTATGGATATCGCAACCTTTCGGCCTTGATTCCATTGTAAATACCGTAAATCTGGGATAAAATGTGGCTTTCCTGCCTACCCCCGGGATTGAACCCGGAACACAATGAATCCGGTTTAGCCAACTACGCTAGAGAGCCGGGCGAGCCAACAGTTAAATACATTCACTGAATGATGTGGAGAACTATTAAAGACATGAGCCAACAGTTAAATGCATATATTGAAAGATGTGGAGAACTACTTAAGACATGAGCCAACAGTTAAAAACATTCACTGAATGATACTGAGAACTACTAAAGACATGGGCCAACAGTTAAATACATTCACTGAGTGATGTGGAGAACTACTAAAGACATGAGCCAACAGTTAAATACATTCACTGAGTGATGTGGAGAACTACTAAAGACATGAGCCAACAGTTAAATACATAAATTGAGTGATGTGGAGAACTACTAAAGACATGAGCCATCAGTTAAATAC